CAAAAGCAAAATTTATAAAAGAAAAAATTGATAAATTCAGCTGCATTAAAATTAAAAATTTGCTCTGGAAAAGGTAGTGTTAAAAGAATGAAATGTCAAGACACAAACTGTAAGAAAATATTTTAAAATCACATATCCAACAACAGATTTGTATCTAGAATATATAAAAAACTCTCAAAACTCAATAATAAGAAAACAGATATCTTCCCAAAAAATGGGCAAAGATTTGAAAAGGCACCTTACCAAGACGATATGCATATGGCAAATACTTAGTGCCTAAAAGAAAATTATCAAAACCACTTAGTCATTAGGAAAATGCAAATTAAAATGACAATGAATACCATGACGGATACAGTGCAACTGCAACTCTCATACATTGCTGGGGGTAATGGAAAATGATACATATAGTCCTTCTGAAGAGCAGTGAAGCATATACTTACTGTGAGATTCAGTATTCCTAAGCCTAGGTATTTAACCTAGAGTTATGAAAACCTATGTTCATATATACATGTACAGGAATGTTTGTCACAGCTTTATTCATAATCACCAAAAATTGTAAATAACCTAAATGTCTTTTAATGGGGAAAGGGATAAATGATTGTGGGTACATACATACAATTGAATACTACTCAATAAAAAGGAATGAATTATTGATACATTCCACAACATATGTGGAATCTCAGTGGCATTATGCTGAGAAAAATAAGCCAGTCTTAAAGGGTTACATACTATATAGTTCCATTTACATGACATTCTGGAAAAGGCAAATACATAGGAATGGAAAATAGATCAGTAGTAACCAAGTGTTAGAGGTGGGGGGAAGGAAAGTTTAACTACAAAGAAAGAGCTGGATGTAATTTTTTTGCTACACTGGAATTGTTCTATAGTCATTACACAATTCTATACAAGTGTTAAAATTCATAGAACTGTACATCAAAAAAGTCCATTTAATTGTATGTAAATTTTTAATAATAAATTAAGAAAATTAAAAAACAATCTATGTCAACAGAAGAGAACTTATTTCTCTTAAATTCTCTTAAGATTGTAAACCTTAGAGGTAAAATATTCTGCTGTGTAACTTATTGATTGATTTCTAAGGAATTGGTTTATATAAATAAATAAAAGCTATAACTGTATTGTAATAAATATTTTCTTAAATATTTTAACAACTTTCTCAGAACTATTGTTGCTAAATGTTTCTTACTTTAATATTAGAAGTCAAAATGCTGGCTGGCTGATTGCTTGCAATTACACTATTTTTATTCCCCTGGATATCCTTGTTATAATATGTTGCCTAATTCCTGTGCAAGAGAAGAAAGACCTTTTTGTTGACAATACATCATACTTGAAGGCAATCCAAACAAGTTAAAATGTATTCGGTCCATCCACAGGAGATGCATTAATCCCCGAAGTATATACTAATCAATAGAAGAAGCTGGGAATGGTCCAGGGATAAGTAAAACTCTGTCCAGAGCACACTCTATTCTTTATTAGCTCTTCCTCAAGGGAACAAGCGTTGCTAATCAGATTGTTCAGAGTCTAGAATTCTTTGAGTGAAACATGGCACTGAAAAGAAATTTGAATTTGTGAGCATATCTTTTTTCTTTCTGCAATATGCCAAAAAGTATCCTGAGATGCTCTTGTATATTTTTTTACTTCCAACACCAACATCCAGTGGTCTTTCTCCTTTCTTTCACTTTCACTTTTCCACAAACTGCTAAGAATTCCCCACAAAACCAAGAGCACAGAATGGAGAGAAATCCAGATATTTTCTCTCAGAACTTTTTGTGCCTCCCAGATAGAGGCTTTTGTACAGCCACAGACTAAGTAACCTGGGCCAGATTAGTATTATGCACAGGAGCCAAAATATTTTTCCATATTAGTTGTGTCATCTGCTTTCTTTTGGCTATGGTGGTATGCTTCTAAATCTCCTCATATTGCTCTAGAAAGAAAGATTCCACCTTCAGTTTGAGGAGAAGGAATGAAGAGGAGGAAACAAGATACTTGGGAAAAGAAAACAGGGGGCCTCATTTTGGCCTTTTTACCTCAGCCATGTGCCCCATCTTAATTTATTTAACCAGTATTTAGAAATATATTGTACTTATAGATAAATTAATATATTTATATTTCACTCCTCTTTTAACTGTTATTTTGTATCATTCCTTTAGAGGAAAGAAGAAATGAGTGATAGGCTCACTCCCAGTAACTTAATCCTTAAATGATTAGTATTCATGGCCCTTCACCATTAAGGACTTTAAAAATCAGTGTGTACAAAATTAAAATCCTTCTAAATCACAAAGTCTGTTAATGGTATAAGAAAGGGGAAAAGTGTAGAATTAAATTGTCTGCTCTATGTAAACTGAGAAACCCCCAAATACCCTATAGTTTATAATCTGTAAACTAATTGAAATGAGATAATGTAAGAATATGTTATACCATATGATAAAAGTGAATCCTTGCTAGAGTTATGTAAGTCCCATTTTGTTCATTTCTTATTCCATTGTACATCTGGACTGAAACACTGCTCCTTGAATCTCTGTCACTTTTCACTTTTGCCTTTACTGTAAGCAAAAAGGCAGCAGACCATTCAAAGGATGGACAATCCACTGAGGGAAGGCCTGAACTAGACCTTAGGATTCTTATTTCCCTTTGTTAAATTTCAAAAAGCTATAATGGATTTTGAAGAGCATGGTACTCACTGGCCCAATTTTAGATAGCTCCTTGTTATTCTATTGTTTTATTAATCATGGATTATCAAACATATTTTATGAATTTGGAGTGATCATAACACATTCATCTGTTCCCTTCTTTCCTGAACATTAAACCAGCTTGGAGAAAGAGCTGGGGGTTATTTCCCTTGACTACTACAAAACATCTGGATACCCAGATTATAGAGATCCAAAAGAGCAACAATTCTAAACATGAGGTCATAATGCTGAAAAGCTGGAAAACTTCAAAAAATGTATTGTTCTGATTTTCTTTTGAATAATATCAATATATGTTAGAAGACACATGATCAGTAGATGAGAAGATAAGTTAACTTATTTGTAGTACCCTGTTTCTATTAACCCCAAATGCTTATGATTTTTCAGGAGAAACTCAATAATGAAGAAATGACTCAAAAAAATTCATGTATCTTATCCAGGTAAATTTATGCCATCTCTGACAGTTATGAATAACTCTTACATTCCCAAAAGGAGAAAAAAAAACTAACACAAAACCTAGAAGATAAATGGAAAAGTAAAGCCCTATCCAAATAGCAGACTGCTTAAGCCAAATCAGCCAACCCCAGAAATTTCCCACTGCTCATTGCACAAGCCTACATTCACAATAATGCTTTTAGAAAATGCTGAGTTAACATCACCCAATAACTTTCACTCTGGACAACTCCAGCCCATTCCCCCACTTTGGAAATAGAAGGACACTTCCCCTTGGCTACATCTGACCTGGAACCAAAAAGCCACCATCCCTGGAACTGTTGGGGCATTTTTTTCTTTTTTCAGAAAGATGGGCTCTGAGTGATAGGGAAAAAAGATACAGAATCTGAGGTCAAAAAACTCCAGCTGAGGCTGGCAAAACTATCTGGAAACAGCCTTCCTCCCTGGAGGTAGTAAAATGGGGATAATATTGTTTACTTAAGAGGATAATTTAAAGATAAAATGAGTTAAGAGCATGAAAGTGCAAGTGTTAAGTCGTTTATATACACAACAAATAATTGCTATTTTCCAGCTTCTCGATCCCAATCCCGTGTTGATTGAGTGTCCCTCACTATGCAAAACAATTTCTTCCCTTGAGTTACTTGGGGAGCAGAAGTAGGGCTCATTGGCTTTTCTGTAAGACATTCATTATTCTGAGTCACACAGCTCATGGTGAGTGTCAAAACTGACAGGAACCCATTCCTGCCTCCCCAGCTAGCATCCTAATTTGTGGGGAGGAGATGCAACTTCCTCTGCTCAACTTTTCCTAACTGAATTTTTTTGAAGCCCAGACTCAATTCTTCCCTCTTAAAAATACGTTTCCTCTCCAGCTAGCTGAGATCCATGGCCACAGCAAATGCAAACCAACTTTTCAAATTAAACCATGACACAGTTAAAGAGTTCTAGGCCCCTCTACTCTTTCCCTTACTCCCGTTTTTCCCACAGAAGTCTTTAATGAAAGCGGGGGCTGGAATTTAAGAGGGGGAAAAAAATCTTTGTATCTACCTGTAGAGAGGACTTTGTATGCTAACAATGACCACGCTTTCCTAGCTGTTCCCTAACTCCTCCTGACCTCATCTGAAACACACATCCATGCCTTGTACACACACGCACGCGCACACGCTCGTAAGCCAGTAAAACGCAGACTGATCTGACTTCCCCAACTTGTAGCCAAAGAACGCAGCAAAAAGACCAAAGTCTTTCACCTCCAGCTTCAAAAAGACACTGCAACCGCCAGCTGCGCCGCAGTAGCAGTCTCTGTGCTGCAGCCTTCGGCCAGCCGGTCAGAGTTTCAGGTCTAATTCCTTAAGGAGTATCGCTCTCCTGCCCTTAGTCCCACTGTCCTGGGCTTCATCCACTTCTCTCCTCAGGAGGTCAGAAGGAACCGGGTCACTTTGCCACTTTGGCAGAGAGGGAAGTGACAGTGAAAAATATCCCCACTGAAGTACCCCAAAGCCCACTACTCTTTGCCCCGTGTCTCCACCTTCCTGTCCACGTAGGCGCCTGTGCGGCTGGCGAACGTGCCAGTTCTCAAGGTGCCTGAGCTCCGATGGGGTGTGGAGGAGCTAGGCGGGAAGAGCAGCGATGGGACGGTGGCTGGAGATTGTTGGAGGGCAGATGGGGTAGGACTGGGGAAAGGGATGAAGACTCCGCACAGGGACACTCTCCCTCCCGTCCCTCGCAGACCGTAACTCTGAAACGCGCAGATGGGCCAAAAGATAAAGGCCCTCGCTCCGTACTTTCTCCCTTCTCTTCCCCGCTCCCCGCCTGGGCACCTGGTGAAAAAGCAAGGTGCAGGTGTACCTGGAGCGAACACCATGATTTCCTCAAGCCGCTACGCCCTAGGTAAAGAGAGACAGACAGACAGACAGACAGGCAGACAGACAGGGAATGCGGAGGAAGGCCAGGACTTGGAGGGGTCCGGTGAAGGCGCTCGCTCGGGGCGCGGGGCGCGGGGCGCGGGGCGCGGGCCGGCTGCGGGCCGGGGCGGTCAGCACCTCGGACAGCTCCCCGCCGCGCGATCCCGGGGCCGCAGCTCCCGCCGCTGCGGCGCGCTCAGCCTCCACAATGCACTGCTCCGCCGGCGGCCACCGCGGCGGCGGGAGGAGGAGACGGAATCCTTGCTCAGTTCATCCCTCATTCCTATGCCAGCTCGGCGTACACAGGCTGTTTAGAGAGCAAAGCACTTCTACCGCTTCTACGGGAGAAGAAAGGACTGAAGAGGAAGAGAGAGAAAGGTAATTGCTCGGCTTCCCGGCAGGCGGACAGCTAATTGCTTCTAACTACCCGCTGTTACTAGCCCCTGTGGATCCTGGACTGACATTTAGACTGGGTTTGTCCCCCTCCTTTTTTTTTTTTTTTTTTTTTTTTTTTTTTTTTTTTTTTTTTAACGCGAAAATCTTTACTCTCGAGGCTGACTCTGAGTACTCCGAGTTGGGCTGCCTCTGAAAAAAGGGGTGGGACCTCCCAGTTAATCAGTCCTTGGGGCCCAGGACTCTTCCCTCGCCCCAGAGTCTCACCCTAGAGCTAATGTCAGAAAGACAGCAGGAGGTGTCTTTCTCCTCCGGGTGACTACGGAGGCATGAGGAGGGCGCCGCTATGAGGCCCCGCTCCCAGGCAGCCAATACCGCTCTAAAAGCCCCTAAACTTGGAGGCCCTCAAGGTCATCACTTTAGAGAAAGCAGGGCCCGAGAGCGGAGACGAAAAAGATCTCGGTGGAGCTGGTCTCCTCTACCGACGAAAGGATGAGCCGAAAGAGTCCCTGCAAGTATAAGAATAGGCCTGAAACCCAACAAGAAATATTATTGCTTCCCCTGCCTTTACCTAACTGAAAACTGTGTCCACCATGTATACATCGAGTTCTACTTTAAGGTACTGAAACATGCCCCACACTCACTTCATGCTTCTAATCCATTGCTCATTTTAAAGCACTAATTTCCCCCAAGGAATGCTTGTGCAGTATGGAGAGCCCACACTAGATGTTACCCAGCTTGAAACAAGTCCATCTGGGTTACAACCGCAGAGCTAAAGTGACACAGGACCCTCCAGCCTCAAAGCAGATGGCAGTTGCTTTGGGTTTAATCCTCTATTTTTGCCATTGAATGGAGTATTTCAAGAACAAAGGATGATTAAGGCCATCCCCAGTGTTTTATGGGGTTTCTCCACTTTCACATCTCCCTGGAAAATATAGCTGTTCTGAAAATACAACATTTCTTAATAATTTGATTGGTGGCCATAAATTCTACATTTTTTAAAAAACATAAAGCACTCAAATAGTCTTATTAACACTGGTTTTGTTCAAAATAATCTGATTAATTGAGAATGCAGATAGCTTTACAGCTCTTGAACTACACTTTGCTTGGAGGCATATGGACAGCCTCAGCATAACACAATCCGTACTGTTCTTAGCACCTGGCTCAACACAGGCTTGAACAGATGGGACCTGCCTCAGCAGCAAGAAGATGCAAATCAGCTGATGGGCAAGTTGAAATGTGGGCATAACAGGATGCAGTCCTCTCATTTCCCCAAGTTACACCAAAGCCAGGGACCAATGATGCTTCACTCTGTCTTACTTGCTGTATCACCATAAGTATGAAAGACTAGCTGAAATGAAAGACCTCTTTGTTTTCATACACTCAGTAGGGCTCTCCTCTACAATGTTTATTTTGTAATGGGCTTTATTCTCCTAATGCATAAACAATCACTCATGATTAAGTTCAAGAAAAAACAATAGAGTATAGGGAAAGAAAAAAGACTTGGAAACTAATCAGGCTCAAGTGTAACTTCTTCACTACATACTAGTTATGTGATCTTGGATAAATTACTTCACTGTGTCATCTAATATAAGGATTAATGTATCTCCAAGGTTTGTTGTTGGGATTAAATGTGATCATGGACTAATTAAGAGCAAGCACAGCCTCAGTTAAACTCATTCCAGGAAATTACTGGCTCCCTGGGAATAAATGAAACTCTATTGATATGTTAAATCAGTATTTCTCAAACATGAATGTGCATGTGAATCCCATGAAGATCTTGTTAAAATGCAGATTCTGGTTCAGTAGAGCAGAGTGGGGCCTGAGATTCTGCATTTCTAGCAAGCTCCCAGGTGATGTCCATGCTGCAGGTGCTGCTGGTCCACTGACTATATTTTGAGTAGCAAGGTGTTAGATTTATCAGCATTTAGAAATAAAATATTTACTTCTCTTTCAACCTCAGAGCACATATTTCTAACTTTTACATAAGGAAGGAACCCAGTTGGATGTCCATAGACTTCCAAGCTAGACAGAGGCCTACATAGTAGTAGAAAGAAAAAATGCCTCCAGAGGTCCTTTGATTAACTTGCTGTGAATAATAGGAGGTAATATGATCCAGCAAAAACCAATTCAACAGATCGAGACAGAAGAGCAAACTCTCTGTCAGGCCCATCCTCACCTCTTCCGTGACATTCTTCCTCCCATTACTGCTTCCTCCCACCATCTCTTCATTTTCTCTACCCAACATACCACAGCTACCCAGCCAGAGGCCAATATACTCACTGTACTCCCAATTCAGTTTTTCCTTATTTATATTTTAGTAAGAGCAATTCATTTTATTCCCAATAAAACCAAGAAATTTTAAAGATTTTTTTATTTGCAGTTATTCCATAAGTCCATTGTATATTCAACAATGTTATCTCCAAGTTTTACTACTGCTGGAGTTATTTTGTTGGTTTAGTTTAAAAACCTTAGTAATGCTGTAAGATTTTTACATCTTAATGTAAATGATCAACTTAATCATTTAATGTAAATGATTTAATGTTAATGTAAATAATTTAATGTAAATTGATCACTTACATTAAGATATAAAAATCTTAATTTTATAGATTAAAGAAAGACTAATTTTTGTGCTATCCAATTTGTAAATACATAAAGAGAGTGAGTTAAAAATACATAGAGAGAGGGAAAGGACTTTTTTTAATGAAGATAAATGATGGAATAAATAGGGAAGGAGAATAAAAATACTGACTTTGCTGCATTAAGAAAAGTAATGGGAAATATTAAAGAATTTTTGCAATTTTAAAGAGTAAAAGGCGATGTCTCTGTAGGTTTGCATTTTATTAAGCAGTTTATGAGTCTGCAAGATGTTTTAAAATGAACTATGAAATAGTCGTATATTCTGAAAGGGAACATCAGCAAGACTTCCTTATTGGAAAAAAGTACATTAGAACAGTTCTCCCAAATCACCAAATAAATTGTTGATTGTGATGGTAGGAGAGGGAGAATCAGTTAAGGAAAAATTCAATTTAAAACCTACCTGGTTAGTTTTTAAAAAGCATGAAACAATCAACTGAACATTCAACTTATTTTCAAAATTGTTAGTAGATGGTATAAAACTTTAGTCAATAAATTCTGGATGCATAAATGTATCTCTTTATATATGTATATGATTTGCACTGTTATTTCAGAAGAGAAAATCAATGAGAAAAACTAGACTGGGAAGAGGAGAAGTAAAAAGAGAATGGAAAGGGATATGGGAAGAGGGAAGAAAAGAAGCAGAAAATAGAAAAAGCTCTCTGAGATGAGCATATAGAAAGGAAGGAAGATACAAAACACAAAAAGTAGCATTCTGAGAGACTCAGAAATATTTTTTTTAACAAAAGGAGATAAAAAATAAGAATGACATACTTCTTTCAAAAGTATAGTGACAAACAGAAAAGTCTCAACACAGTCCAAACTGAGAAATTGGGTATTCTCATTTTTGGCTCACTTGAGCTGTTGGTTTGAGGATAAGTTTAATCATTAACTTTGGAAATATATATTAATTTTCTAATTTAAACTTTATTATATATTTTTCCATTACCATTTAGTTCCTTTATACCCCCGACCCCAGCAATCATGACACTGTTGTCCATGCCCATGAGTCCTTTTTCCTTTTTGCTCAATCTCTCCTTCCCCTCACCTCCCCCGGCCCCACGACCAGCTGTCAGCCTGCTCTCCATCTAAGCCTGTCCCCATTTTGCTTGGTAGTTCAGTTTGTTCATTAGATTCCACATGCGAGTGAAATCATACGGCATTTGTCTTCCTCTGACTGGCTTATTTCACTTAGTATAATGCTCTTCAAATCTATCCATACTCTCACGACAGCTAAAATTTTCTTCTTTAATATGGCAGAGTAGTATTCCATCATGTAAATGTGCCATAGTTGTTGTATCCACTCACCCACTGATGGACATAGACTTCTTCCATTTCTTAGTGATTGTAAATAATGCTGCAGCGAACATAGGGATGCTTATGTTCTTTCGAATTAGGGTTTTTGATCCTTTGGATATATTCCCAGAAGTGGGATCAGTGGGTCAAAAGGCAGATCCATTTTTAATTTTTTGAGGTATCTTTGTACTGCTTTCCACAGTGGCTGCATCAATCTGCATTCCCACCAACAGTGCAAAAGGGTTTCCCTTTCACCACATCCTCGATAGCACTTGTTGTTTGTTGATTTATTGATTAAAGCCATTGTAACATGTTTGAGATGATATCTCATTATGGTTTTAATTTGCATTTCTCTGATAATCAGTAACATTGAGCATCTTTTCATATGCCTATTGGCCATCTGCATGTCCTCTTTGTATAAGTGTCTATTCAGGTCCTTTGCCTATTTTTAATTGGGTTGGGTATGTGTGTGTGTTGAGTTTTGTAAGATCTTTATAAATTTTCGATAGTAACACCAATCAAATGTATTGGCAAATATGTTCTCCATTTCTATGGGTTGTCTTTTTATTTAGTTGATGATTTCCTTTGTTGTGCAAATCTTTTTAGTTTGATTTAGTCACATTTGTTTATTTTTTCTTTTGTTTCCAGTAAAATATTTCTATAAGCAATTTCCAAGGTTTTTCTGCCTAGGTTTTCTACTATGATTTTTATGGTTTCAGGCCTAACATCTAAGTCTTTGATCCATTTTGA